TCTTTAATAGATCCACGCCTCTACTAGGCCTTGAAAAAAATTCTTTAATAGATCCACGCTTCTACTAGGCCTTGAAAAATATTCTTTAATAAATCCACGCCCCTACTAAGCCTTGAAAAAGATTCTTTTATAAATCAACGCCTCTGTGAGACCTTGAAAAATATTATTTTATAAATCCACACCTCTGTGAGGCCTTGAAAAAATAATCTTTAATAAATCCACGCCTTATGGTAGGCATGAAAAAGGTAAGGGGCTGGGCCCAATTGGCTTTCGAATTTCTCAATTCTGTTGTTCAAATCAAATTTAGAATATGTGTTGGTTCTGAAAGTATAAATGTCATTAACTGTAGGTCATTGAATAGTAAAATTTAAATATATATATATATATATATTTGCCATCACGTGAATGTACCCGCATGAAAAACAAATAAATTGCAGTGTGCAAATTTCAAAATAATTTTTCAAAAATCACTGGATTCAAGCCAAAAAGATTTAAGTCATAGAAAAAAATTCTGAACAAAAGTAAAAGTCCTTCGTCATAAACAAATTGAAATACGAATTAATTATGCAAAACGACATATAATAAATAAAAACAAAATTCGAAACGAAAATTACACTTATTTGAATATACAAAAAAATCGTCATAACCCTCAGTTCAATATGCCAACCACACAACACCCTTCTCCTCTCCCACTCTCTTTTTTCTCCCCATAATTGTTGTCAACTACCTGTTTATGGGCAAATAGTTTTTTTCACTACTGCTCTTTGTCAACAGCAATTTCTTGCTGTTCACTTTTTGTGCTTTATTACAGTTCGGTCATTCACGCTTTTATGGTTTTTGGTTACGCAGACCAACCACACGCTTCACCGCCTTCCCCACCTATCCCCCTCCTCATTATTTTGTTTTGTTTTTTCTTGGGTTTCAAAAAATATATATTTTTGTTGAGAAAATTTTTGCAAAGAATATCACAAGAAAAAATAAAATATAAATAGAAATTTGACTTTCTTTCGTTCAATGAAATGTATATTTGTTGTATATACATATGTATGTACATACATATGTACATATTTATTGAACAAACAAATGCCAGAGACGAAGCGACGCTGAGAAGCAGCGAAAAAAACGAAATAAAAATTAATAACAAAAAATAAACAATTTAAAACAAAATTATTGTTTATATCTTCATTATGCAATTGCTATAGGGGGTGGAGAATTATTTTCTTTCAAGAAAAATAGATATACAAAACTGCAGCGTCGATATTTATTACCCACATTTTTATGTTGGTAATATAATTGTTTTTAAAATTTAAAATATGAATATGGAATATGAATAATTAGAAAAAATGTTTTTAGGTTCCTGGTCACACTGACATTACACTCATAATTTTGCATATAGGCCAAATTAGACGCGATCATGGAAATAACTGCGAACCTCATTACTGAACCTCATTATTCTCGGATGTGGAATATTTATAAGCCATCGAATATCAACATTTAAAGTCGAACATCTACGTAGTACTTTGTTAAGAGTGTATAAGGGAACGCTTAACCAACATCGCAGCGTCCATGGGGGACAAGGTGAGGACCTGTATAGTAGGAAAAATGTGTTTAAATCTAAGCTTTCTATCTAATTACAGCAATGGTGACACGTGCCCAGTAAGGCTGGGGCATTCGACTGGGATGGCCATTCTCCTCAGTCTACATGCCTTTTGAGGAACTGGATCCGCCAAACACCAGTGTCCGAAAGATGCTTGACGAAATGACGAGCGCCTGCAACGTCATCCTGGGATGCTACGCAAACCCTCCCAGGATGACGTCCTATAATTTACGTATATGTAGTAATAGGGGTAGCGATCCGACCTTTAAAATTTGGAATAGAGAGGTGGTCATTGACTTAACCCTCTCAAATCTAGATGACTCCGTCATCAGCAATTGGAAGTTATCTAATGAATGTTCCTTTTCGGATCATTTGAAGATTTTCTTCGAGGTCTCTTTTGACGGAGGTAAACAACAGCCTTATAGGAATCCAAGGAGGAAGACATTCACGGATCTACCGAACTCCCAGCTGACTTTTAATATAAACTTAGGAACAGATGTGGAACTTAATAGGGCCGTGGACAATCTAACGGACTTTCTTCTCAGATGCCATAAGGAATCCTGTCCGCTTACATACCCTGGGAAAAAATCTCAGCCAGTGTGGTAGAACAGGGAACCTGGTGAGCTCAGAAAAGCGACCAGACGACTGTACAACAGGGCGCATAAATCAAAATCGATATTAACTGGAACTCCTACAGAGCTAGTTTCAACACAAACAAGAGTGAGATCAAGCGTACAAAGAAAAAGTCTTGGATAAATTTCTGTGAGTCGATAGAAGGAGTCAACGACGCTGCTAGGTTTCGAAGATTACTATCCAAGGATCCGAAATCCATCGGAAGTATCAACAAACAGGATGGAACGTGGACGGACTCTGGTTCTGAGACTCAATCTCCTAGCTGAGACTCATTTTCCAGGTTGCAAATATATGGATACCATCGACGGTGAACGTGCTGACACTCAGCCTCTTGCGACTCTAGATTTGGATCTCATTGGCAAGGTTGTTAACAGAAATAAGATACGATGGGCAGTCAATACATTCAAACCGTATAAATCGCCAGGACCAGATGGAATCATACCGGCGATGCTTCAATTTGCCTCGCCAAGTATATATCTGATCCTCGAGAGGTTCTACGCGGTGTGTTTCACTCTCTCGTATGTTCCGGATCTATGGAACGAGGTAAAAGTTACTTACATTCCCAAAGCGGGGAAACCAAGCCACTCTACACCAAAGGACTATAGACCCATTAGCTTATCATCCTTTCTCCTCAAAACTCTCGAAAGACTGATCGACCTGGAGATTAGGAGTCGTATAGCAACTCTTAGCAACTCACAACAACACATAAAGGGCAAGTGTAGCTACGCGAGGTAATAGGTTACATTGAGAGGTATATGAAAAATTCAAATTTTACGCTGGCCGTTAAACTTGAATCCATGAACCACTCACTTAAAGAAGTTGGCATTTCTGAAACCCTTACGTATTGGATAGATAAAATGCTAAACAGCAGAATTATAAATTAAAGTGTGGGGATACAAAAATCAGGAAAATTGTAACTAGAAGTACACATCAGGGAGGGGTTCTCTCGACGTTGCTATGACTATTGGTAATAAATCTATCAAAGCTGTAGCTTATTCGGACAACGTGTTGATATTGATTTCCCGGAAATTTCCGTGAACAATCTCAGAGCTTCTGCAAAGAGCCTTACTGACGCTGTCACGTTGGGCCAAGGCGAACGGCCTTGGTGTAAATAAAAATTAAATAAATACAAATGTTAAAACATTATCCTTAAAACTTTTCAGAGATATTTTATCCTCTAAATATTACAAAAAACTGCTATAGAACAAGAACCACAAAAGTACTAAAATTGAACGGAACCATTTGCATATCCTGGAAAGAAGTGTTCGCCCTCCAAGAACCCCAAATGATTAAATACAGCTCCTTCTTTTGAAGAAACGACTAAAATTATTAAGTGCCAACAAGTGGACAGGTCGAATGTGGAGGCTGTACCAAAATGTGATAACCAATGTCATAAGGAAAAGAAATTAAAAAACAACGCCTCGTTTTCAGAAATCCACTCCTTGTGGATCCTTGAAAATTATTATTTAAGAAATTTACGCCTTGAGGGTCCCTGAAAAAAAATACTTGAGGAAAAAATCCAATCCTGGTGGTCCATGAAAAAATAGCATTAAAAATGCCACCTTATAGTGGAAGGTATACAAAAAATATTACAGTCGAGTACGCTTATAACGAATATCGGTTATAAGGAACATTTCTTATAGCGAACACATTTCCCGGTCCCGAAGTTTTAAGACATATTCATACAAATCCTTAACCTTATAGCGAACTACGGATATAACAAACTATTTATTCGGCCCCAATAATATAACTGTACTGTATATGCAATACCATAACTCCGGAACTATGTAATTCTCCGTAACAAATATATAATCCAAAAATTTCCAAATTTGTTCCGAAATCGATTATTTTGTTTAAGAGTTATCGTGCGCATCAGGCACCCCCAAGCAGACGGGTAGTTCTAAGTCAACTCCAAATTGTCAGAAAAAAAATGAATACCTTTAAACTTGTGCTCTAAATCCCATATTTTTATGGGTCAAATATTTGGACCTATCAATGTCTATATATGGCCATATGGCTGAGGGTATAAAAAATGGTGTAGAAATATTGAAATGTGTATCGCTTTTGAGGGGAATTATAACAAATCTACAAAGAAGTGTTTTTTTCTTTCATGGGTTGGGGGGTTCAATTACAATTGACCTGCCATAAAAGCTAGTTTACAATTTGATTGTAACATTGCCCCTATTAATCACAAAGAAGTACGGAAATTTCATAATATTATGTAGACAAAGAAACGATGTGGGAAACGAAAACATACAAGTTTTTTTTTGGCAAACAACAAACAAAAACTACAACAATAAAATTCCGCACATTACTTAGTGTTACGTATCAGATTTTTATTACAACAATGCTGCTGTCAAAGCTCTAAATACCATAAATAACTAAAGCGATAAAGTGGATTTGCTTGTTATATTAAAACAAGCAAACACACAAACAAAAACAACACCTAAGTACTTATGTATACAAATGTGTAGCAAAGTTCACAGAAAATGTAAAGCATTTTGGAACACGAGGAACAATGAAAAGGGGCAAGGTGGTGTTTTCAAACTTTAAATTCAAGAAGTTTTCCTTTCGTCCAATGAAACTAAGACCTTATGGGACTTTCCGGTATGTTTGAGGACATTTTTCTTCGAGGAGATATTTTAAACTCTGAGAAATACCTATCGCCAGTCACCTCGTTGAGAAAATGTTACTATAACCATGTTGAGGAAATTGTTTTCATCGTGGAACCTTTAAATGACATTGATAACATTTGGAAATTATTTCTCACCTTGAGGTTACCAATCAATTCCATAAATTGTATTATATCTCCTAGGCCAGCATTAAAGCATGGTTTTCCTGATTTGGAATTTTGTTGTGTAGTAGCGTCTGAGGCTGATGATTGCTGCGGGTTAGATTTTGATGATGACGATGATGATTCATCATCGGATGCCTGATGGCCACCACCGCCACAAACTTTACAATTACTATTAAGGTCATCTTTTTGTAGGGTGGTCGCTGACGATGTCGTCGCCGCCGCCACCAATGGTTCTGCTGCTAGTGAAGACATTGCAAATTGTGTTTGCTTATGTTTGGTATTTAAATTATGATAATGTTGTTGGGTATGAAATTGTTGATGGAAAATTTGCTGTTGAAAGAAATTCTGTATGCGTTGAGAACGTAGTTGATTTTGTTGGTGGTTTAGACTGTGGTGATGGGTATGGTGGTGGTTGTGTTGAGGTCCCCTTTGTTGTGTTGTTGCTACGCTATGTGGGGACGAAGTAGTTGAAAGAATCACAACTGTCTGCGGATCCTGCGTAGTAAAGTTTTCACTTTCCGTGGCTTTTATCGAACCGTCAGTGTCCAAAGACGAATACAAACTAAAACATTCGTTATGACAATTGAGTGTTTGTTGCTGTTGATGGTTATTGCCGTTTTTGCTGGTGTCAGTGCTGCTGCTACTGCTGTTAGAAGTAGTATTCGCATTGTTGTTATCGCCGCTGCTACTGCGGCCAACATGACTCCCCATATATACATTTGTTTGCTCTTCTCCTTGTTGTTTAGGCAATGATGACGTTGTTTTCCGTCCAACTTCTGCGTCTAACTCATCTTCATGGTGCTGTTCTCTTCGATTCAACAGTGACGTCATTAGCACCGTCGAGGAAGGTGCCCTCGTCGCTGTCTCTGCCGCGGTGCTAGCCACATGCTTGATACTCTTTACTAAATCACCAGCCGCAGTATTATTTATAGCTGTGCTGTTTTGTAGCTTTCTTAAGGCTTTGATCAGTTGCTGAATTGAGAGCATTTTTGCTGAATATAATAATAATACGAACGACGACGACGATCTCTGGTAGTAGTCTCCGTACGTAATCGTCTCGTGACAAATACCAAAAATGCGAGTAAATTATATTTTGATTTTACTGTTTTGTTTGTTGTTCGATTGTTGGTCGGATTTTTCGTATAAAAAAGCCAAGCAGTAATTTTGCTTCTCGTCTGTTTGGTTTGGTTATTCTAGGCGGAATTCCTTTGTGTTAGCGTTTCACCAAAAACAATTGTTATGACTTCGTTATTATTGCCTGGTTACTACGGGCACTCACAATGTGATCTGAAAAAAAATAAAAAACAACAAAAAACTGTTAGTATTTGTTTATTATTTTTATTTAATGTGACTAAATAGAAAATTTAGCTAAAAAGTAGTTTGAATAACATTGTTACTCAGTAAACAAAATAACAATTTCAGTTAAAAGTGGTTTGAATTGCTTTGAACAACAAAAATCTGTTAGGGGAAAACAATAAAGTTTGAAAAAAGATCCAAACATTTTTAAAGTAACACTTTTTCTGGCGTCGAAATTTCGAATACTAAATTCATGGACTAGTACCTCATGATAGGTTAGGTTAAGGGATGTGCTGACACCATTTGTTTAGCAGAACGAAAGACATGTAGGCAAACTGAGATCAGAACGGTACAGCAGCCTCAATTCGTATTGGGTCCAAATTGGCAGCACGATACCCGAGACATGCCCTGCATATGGACTAGTACCTCATGAAGTGGACTAGTCATTCGTCCAGAGTGCAGAAATTTGGTAAATTTTACCATGTCAGGATGTTTACAATGCTAAAAATCTTTCTGGGTTCGATTCCGGAGAAGCATGCAAGAGTATCAATTTTATATTTGCAAGTTATTTAGCGATAGACATCTACAGTGTACGAGTATATGTTTACTTTTATACCCTGCACCATAGTATGGAGGGTATATTAAGTTTGTTTTTCCGTTTGTAACTCATCGAAATAATTATTTTCGACCATATAAAGTATATATATTCATCATCAGCGTAAAATTCTATGACGATTTAAGAATGTCCGTCTGAGATATATCGCAGAAGTTTTGAATAGAGTTGGCTTTTGTCTGCAGGAGGTCATGTTCGAAGATGGGCTATATGGGTCCACGTTTAGGCATAGCTCCCACATAAGGTTACCCCCAATTTTCGCCTGAATGTTGTACATTGGGTTCTTAATGAGCGTATTTTTCGACTGAGTTGGCTGAAATTTAGTACTTTGAGCTCTTATTAGGTAGCAAATCCCTTCAGAAAATATTATAAATATAGGTAAATTTTTCGGGTAGCCCCCATATAAGGGTACCCTTCAATTGTCGGTATTTTTGGGTCCTTGAGCGCGTTTTTCAACCGAATTCGATATAAGTTAGTATTTTGTAGTCGTGTTTTGTAGTCCATACCAATTAGTAGTCCCCATATACCCTCCATTTTTATATTAATAATATTTATCTGATTTGTTCCCTGTGTTGGGGTTGTCCCCATATAGGCGCAATCTATCATAGTATGGGAAATATTTGTTACACGAATTGCGAGTTTTTACCCTACAAAATATGAAATTATAAGTCTATTTAGCCATCTGTTATAATCATATCGTGATAAAAAAAACTCAAACGTGACATTGATGAATATATCGGTCAGCATTCAGGCATCTCCCCCATATCATGATACCTCCTGAAGGAAAGTATTGAGATACAAAACTAAAATATTGGTTCTGAAATTGAGCTATATCGGTCATTAATTAGGCATAGCTCCTCATATAATGATAACCCCAAATATTCGCTAATTCCTAGCTATGTAATCAATATTAGCCCCCCATTAGTCATAGCCTCATATAACTTTGCTCTCTAAATTGCAGAAATTGGAAGATTTTATAAACATGTTCCATTCTACAAGGCGTTATCAATATCGGTCCACATTTTTGAGTTTTAGATTTTAGGGAAAATCCCCATTAAAAATTGCAGAAATTTGTATTTGGTGTACATAATGATTTACATACATCGGCTTGTAGAATTGTCGGTATAGGTTCACTTTTTGTTCTCTATATTTTCATTTCAAGGACCTTTCAATATACCTATGGTGGAGAGTATCCAAAATTCGTCCCTGGCGAACTTAACGCTTTTTCATTTGTTTTTAGCTCTTCCTAATAGTTAACGACACGAAAACCAGCAACCAGGCTCCGCTGCCCATATGTTGCGGGATTTATTGCAGGATTTCGCCAAAGAAATACCCAATACCTTTATAGTCAGGAACATGTGGAATACCTTTATAGTCAGTATGCGACTTATGGGCCATATGATGTGCAGAAACGCGTCAACATCATTGAATTTTTTTTTTATACTTCTGGAAGGTCAATTATTAGAACTCAACTAAATTATCGTTGTCATTTTAATGTCCGAACAGCACCCAGTCACAACATTATTGGGAACTTAGTCTCCCATTTTGAGGAACATGGAGGAGAGTTAGATCTTCCAATATTCAATTGCTTAAACACCAGTTCTGTGATATATTTAATTTTTAACTGTGATTTTATTTTTTATTTAATTTATTATTTATTTTATTTAAATGTTGTGGAGTGCCGCTTTTTAATTTAAGTAAATAATGAACAAAATTAAAAATAACTAAAATGAATAAAAACGCTCTTGAAAAAAGCCAACGAAACGTCGAACAAAAAATACCTGACCAAAAAAGCCCAACAAAATACATCAATGATTAATAAAATATATATATTGTTACGTTCTTGGATTTTTAGTTAATCCCGTGTAGTCGTTGTTTTATTTCCCGATACAATTCGTACCAAATAAAACGCGGGTTCTTTCTGATTACGATTATTACAATGATTTTATTCACACAACTTTACTTTGCACTTTACTTTACTCGACGGTTTCAATTCGCGATCTGATTCACAACTGACTCACTGCCTTTCCATTTCCCCTATTTATATGAGCCTTGCTTGTAGCTACAGAAGTTTCTAGACGATCTGGTAACACCTAGATCACGAACAATCTACCAATGCAACAAACACACATACAAACTTACATTGAGTAAACAATAACAACAACACATACAAACTTACATTGAGCAAACAATAACAACAACACATACAAACTTACATTGAGTAAACAATAACAACAACACATATACAGGCGAGGGGGTAACAAAGAAAGAGGAATTAAGCGATCATCAATGATGATGTTTAACAAGAATTGTACGACAATAACAAAATAGAAAATGGAAGAGGAAATGGAAGGATGTAGAAAAATTTATACAGTAGTTGTTGTTGTGAAGTTATTCGAATAAACTGCGTAGTAGAAATTTACGTTACAATTCAAATTCTTAAATTAACGGAATTCATCTAAATTAATCTTAAATCTAAAGTTATTTTCGTAACATTGCCCCCCGCTTAAGCCTGTTCGTCCCGAATAGGCACAGTTCCCGTTCCGTAGGGGGCCAGCCGCTCCAAATGTACAACTTTCATCTTCGACCTGGGACTGTCGCTCCTCTGGATGCGATAAACGACGTCATTTATTTTCGTGACAATCTTGTAGGGTCCTTCCCAGTGCGTTTGCAATTTGGGGCATAGTCCTTTTTCCGTTGTGGGTTGAACAATAGTACCAGTTGCCCTTCTTGGAACCCATCGGTATTTGCCGCTCGATCGTACCTTGCCTTCATGCGGTTGCTAACCATTTTTATTCGATGGCGAACTGCATCGTGGATTTTACTAAAAGAGCTCTGACTGTCTTCTTCTTGGTTCACATCGTCGTTTGGGGTAGCACCGAATATCAAATCGCCAGGTAGCTTTAATTCATTTCCGAACAGAACTTTGGCTGGAGTCCGGGATGTGGAATCATGAATGGCCGATCTATAAGCCAGTAAAAACTTTGGAATATGCTCATCCCAGTCTCGTTGGCCACTGTCCACCACTTTCCGTAGATGCTCTTCAAGGGTGCGATTGAATCTTTCCACCATGCCATCTGATTGTGGATGTAGGGGCGTCGTTCTGGTTTTCTCGATTCCGTAGGAGTCACACACTTCCTTGAAGATCGCTGATTCAAAATTCCTACCTTGATCGGAATGAACCTCAGATGGAACACCATAGCGACAAATCCAATTTTTGCTGAACACATCCACAATTGTCCTGGCTTCTTGATTTGGGATAGCATAAACCTCTGGCCATTTACTGAAGTAATCCATGACCACTAAGACATACCGGTTCCCAGAGTCGCTTGTGGGGAACGGTCCAGCTACATCCATTGCGATTCTTTCGAAAGGGGCTCCTGAATTATACTGCTGCATGTAACCTCGACTCTTCCGTGTTGGACCTTTAGCTCTTATGCACCTTTCACAATTGGCGATCCAGTCGGCAATGGATTTTTGACAGCCGACCCAGTAGAATCTCTGCTTTACCTTTTCAGCGGTCTTTGCTATGCCAAGATGTCCTCCACTTGGCCCATCGTGAAACTCCGACAAGACATCTCTTATTTTGGAGTCGGGGACGACGATCAAGTTCCGGTGAGATTTACCGTCCTCACTTTCCCATTTGCGATATAAACAACCATCTATTATAAGTTGACTGAAATTATTTTGCCCAGAATGGGATCTCTTCGTTGTTCCGTCGACCAATCTTCACCCGACTCAAACTGCAATAGTCGGACATCAACGATATTTTCTTTATTCTCAGCCTTTGAGCAATGCCTGCATTCTACCTTGCATGGCCGACGAGACAGGGCATCAGCATTACCGTGCTTTCCGCCTTTTCGGTGCTCGATTCTGAAGTCATAACTCTGGAGCCTCTCGATCCAACGGGCTAGTTGACCTTCCGGATTCTTAAACTGCAGCAACCATTGGAGAGCAGCGTGGTCGGTCCTCAGCAGGAAATGCTGGCCATATAGGTATTTGTGGAAGTGTTTAACACACTCAAGGACAGCAAGCAGCTCTCTTCTCGTCACACAGTAATTCCTCTCAGGTTTCGACA